GCCTGTCTCTAAAACGTGTGTTTAATGAAAGGTGCACTGAGTGTATATTTGCCCAAATGCTGAGTTAGAAGGAGTAAAACAGCTGTTTGGCTAAAACTGAGACCAAAGGCAAATATCTCCACTAAAGAAGGAACTTCTGGGATACTGGAATACTTCTGATACATATAAAAAACAAATTCCTTCTATGATTTCGCTATTAAAATTTTTATAGGCTGCATTTTTGAAGTTTGATATTTTATTTAAAAAAAACATAATTTTCTCAGTTTTCCCCATCATGAAATTTAATATGGCAAAGTTGACATTCTGCTTTGGAGTCTTCCTTCAAGATATAAAGAAGTGACAAAGGGAACTTTAAAAAAACTTAGGGCCTAAATGGATATAAATTAATTTTAATGTATGCATGCAGGTAAACCAATTATGTGACAATTAGAATTATGATATAATTTAATCTCATCTTTCTATCTTATTTACATCTTCTCAAAAACGAACTCAACCTTCTTCATATTTCCCTATGTATTTAATGTTTTGTAAGTTAGTCTTCATGTTTTCTTTTCTTTTCGTTTTTTTTTCGAGAGGGAGGTTAGAGTGGACAGAGTGAGAGGGAGAGAGAGAATCTTAAGCATGTTCCATGCCTACCTCGGAGCCCCCACACAGGACTCAATTTCACGACCCTGAGATGATGATTTGGGCTGAAATCAGGAGTCAGTCACTTAACCGACTGAGCCACCCAGGCTCCGTAAGTTAATTTTTATACATAAAATTAACAGCATTCATGATTAACTTTGCAAAGTTTTATTACTGTAATAATAAATGTACATTTAAACTTGAGCTTACTGATGGAGTTTTCACATGTAAAACCCCAAAGGAGAGTTTCTCTCCAAGTCGCAAACTGGAGACAGACTGGTATGTAAAAGGGACTACTAAGATGCTAACAGTAATTCTGCAGGACATGCATTGTTTGTACTGTTGGCGCTGTTACTCTGATGAGATACAATGGTGATCTCTGCAAGCACAGGACCACAGATCAGGCAAAAAAAACAAGATGCCAGAAGTGATGTTGAAATAGGCATTTGGCTATTTAGATTTCCATAAGCAGAGAATGAGTCAAAGCCAAATAGCTGATTTTGGCCAAATACTCATCCTAAAGACAAACTTGAGCACATGCCTAACTCAGCATAAATTATTAAAGTAATAATTATTTGAAGTAAAATATTTTTACTTTAAATAAAGTAGATTTATGCTTTTTATGCTTTACTGCTTTAAATAAAGTAGTAAAGCATAAATTATTTAAAGTAAAATATTATATTTTACTTTAAAAGATTTCATTTTATTTATTATTCAACAGTTTTCTCATTCCAAACTCATCTAGTTCTAGAAGGTGTTAGTTCACATTAGTGCTGGCTAGATAATCTAGCATTCCCTGTTTGGTCTTTCCGAACGGTCACAAAAGCATTATGTTTTAAATCAGTTTTATAAATTCAAAAACGTGGAAAGTTGGAATGAAAGAAAGTTTTAACCACATATATTTTAGTTTCTGTAGTCTTAGGAAGCCCGTGACCATACTGTGTATCGGAATACAGTGACTTCTATCTCATGTCAAAAACATATCTAAATTTGAAGTGCGTGCACAATAATTTCCTATTACCTATAGACAGTGGTGTTGAACATGATAACATGTCACAAAGTAATTACAGCTGACATGTAAACTGTACTATCCATGGAGTAAATAGCTTTATAATCAGTATTTTATTTGATATTGATTTACAAATCCATCCTTTTGTATTTGACTCCTGTATACCCACACTCACTCCATATGTGCATTTAGAGATAGTAATTTCATTGTCTCTTTTACATTAAAATCCAATATTATAGTAATATTCATGATGACTTTAAATGCTTAATACTTAAAATAATTTACTTTAAAGGGTAGTACAACATATTACATCATTTTACAATACAGAGAAAAATGTCTATAAATCTCCCACTCTTTTTTTTTTTTAAGATTTTATTTATTTTTTTTTGACAGAGACAGACACAGCAAGAAAGTGTACACAAGCAGGGAGAGTGGGAGAAGGAGAACAGGCTTCCCATGGAGCAGGGAGCCTGATGCAGGGCTCGAATCCAGGACCCTGTGGTCATGACCTGAGCCAGAGGCAGATGCTTAACAACTGACCCACCCAGGTGCCCCTATAAATTGCCTATTCTTATCAAAATTATTATAATTTTGTTACTTCTGTCTTGAAAGAAGTTGGAACTTTAAAAAGTACCCTGAGGAGGCTGTGTTAAATCATAGGAGTAAATACTTCACATAGGGCTTATTTTTAAGGGAACAATAAGATCATCATCATGTAAAAATCCTATGTGGTTGCATGGCTAATCAATCAGCCAACCAAACACTTGGTGCAAAGTGAACTGGGAAACTGATAATAAAAGTGTTTAAGATATTTGAAATATTTTAATCTGAACTCACCAGTGGCTAAGGCAGAAATAATTCCAGGGCTTACATTATTTAACAATTACTTTTCTACTTTCTTCCATTCCAATTTTGGGATTTCAGCACCAAACTATGCAATTATGTTCCTTTACTACAGCTGGTTTATCTGACGAATTCTGCCTATGTTTGGCTGGTGAGTCTCCACAGTGGCACTTTTCAAACTACTTCATCTAAACAGTGAGAACACAATGATGACTTCATGTTTTTTGTTTAAAATATAAATATTCTGCTTAAACCCAGGTGTGTTTTCAGATTTGTTTCTTTTTCCTTGATGTTCTCTATCTTGTGCATTTAATCTCTCACAACATTTCATGGACAAGTAGAAAAGAAGGAAAAAATGATAATTCTACTTAAAAAGTTCAGAAATAAGAGAAAAATTTTATTTGAAAACTATTAAAATGGTTATATCATAATAATTTCCTTGTTTGGCAAGATATTTGTATGCTTGTTTTGGAAGAATATCGCACTTAAATTGAATTTTGCTTCTGTGAACATCTATTTTAAGCTTTCTTGAAGTGTTTGTTTCAATGCTTTTACTCAAATAAAATCATAGTAGCTCATGCTTCTCTCTACTGAGGAGATGCTTATATGATTAGATCCTAAATATAGGTTTCCATATAAATTTTATTGAAAAAAATGAGATAAATTTATTGGTTCTGTTTTAGTATAGTTTCTACCGAAGAAATCCATGTTTACATTGAATTAATTTATACACAGCTTTCTTGTCTTTACACTTATTTCTTCATTTGTCCTCAAATGATATTTATTTTTGCGAAGAACAACAGTTTATGCATAGAACATTCACAGGCCCAGGGACACCACGGTTTATTCCAATTCTCTTTGGAATGGTGCAGAAAAGTGGGTTTATTGCCTCGTTTTTCTTTCACTACTTAAACTTTATCTTTCTTGATTTCCTAGGAGTTATTCAGCCAGGTGAATCAGAGGATCTGAAGTTAAGGGAAGGAGGGGATTCTGAGAAAAACATGCCGTGAAGATAGTGATTTGATAAGGAGAAAAATATTTACCATAAAATTGTAAATTTCATGTGCCCCAAACAAAATTGTGTGCATTTTAAAGACCTGTCTTTTATTGGCCTAATTTTATTTTTTTTCTATTAAATTGTTCTTGATTTTCCTTTCTTTATGAGATTTATTTATTTTAGAGAAATATATAGAGAGAAAACACGCGTGGGCAGAGGGACAGAGAGAGAATCTCAAGCAGATTCTACACTCAGCACTGAGCCTGACATGGGGTTTGATCTCACAATCCTGAGATCACAACCTGACCCAGAGCCATGAGTCTGAGTTGGATGCTTAACTGACTGAGCCACTTGATTTTCTTCCTATTGAGTCAGAAAAAAGAACAAAAAATACTATTACAATGTGAGTCCCTTTGTAACAAATATAATTACAGTCCATTTGGATTAATGTTTGTTCCAACAAAATCCAAATGCAAATTAGAATGTGCTTTTATGGGGCTTCTGGGTGGCTCAGTCATTAAGTGTCTGCTTTCGGCTCAGGTGATGATCTCAGGGATCATGCCCCAAATCGGGCTCCCTGCTCAGCGGGAAGCCTGCTTCTCCCTCTCCCACTTCCCCTGCTTGTGTTCCCTCTCTCACTGTCTCTCTCTCTCTCTCAAATAAATAAATAAAATCTTAAAAAAAAAAAAAAAAAGAAAATATGTTTTGTGAAGTTTAATGATATCTGACTTTAACCTGTACTAAGAATTTTAGCACACAGGGTGTCATTTTGTTTAACATTATCTTTTTTAAGCCAAGAATGCTTTCCATTTCCCAGAAGTTGGGTAAATGATGAATATATACAATTGTATAATTTATAGTGCTGTATTACTGTACTATATTATTGTATTATCAAAGTCCACACAAAGTTTTCTTATCAGAAAAACAAGTAAGAATACAGCTGATAGTTTTTTGAAGCTATAATTCACAATATACACACAGGCAATATTATTTTAGAGGAAATAAGATTAGGGTCCCACAGCGTATGATGAAGTCCTAGGAAGCATAAGTTGGAATGGACTGTCCTTTGTAGACATACGGACTTGTACATGTGAGTGTCAGTGTGAAGATTAGGAACTTCTTTTTTTAAAATCAGCTCTCCACCAAAACTCCTTTCAGCTCACTTTCGTTAAATGGAGTGTTGTTAGCCTTCCCACTAATCTAATTCTCCCCAAGTCTTCAGTGTATTTTCAATAGTGCTTAAATCGTGTTGCCCTTATAAATTATTTTCTGCCATAAGACTAATAAATATGCGTTTAATATCTAACAAAACACTTGGAAGCAGTTTTACTATACACCTGAAAGCAGTGTGTAGTAAAATCTCTGAGTCTCAAGAAAACGGGCCATGCAACTGCGTTAACGACTGTGTTTTAATAATAAACCTGTAGGTCATAAAAGCAAAATCTCTCAAGGTAGAAGGCAGACAGGCCGTGAAATGGGAGAAAGGGCAACAGAAGGACTGGAGAGCGCACCACATTTTGTATGTACCTTGAGGCAGCGACTGGACAGGAAGTGCCGCCTGGCCAGGTGGGATGGAGATGAGTCCCTGACGCTGAAGGCTGAGCAGATGCTGCTGCTGCTGGAGTTGCTGCATCTGGAGGAGCTGCTGCTGGAAGACAAGCTGCTGGGCTGCCAACTGCTGCTGCTGCTGCTGCTGGTGCAGAAAACCCAGCCCGGTGAACGGCGGGGAACACACGGTCTGCGCCAACCGCTCTCATACAGAGAAATGCACACTGCTTTCATTGCCCCGGTGAGTTTCTGAATGGTCATTCCGCGGTCAGAGTTCAAAAGCAGAATGTGAGCAAGTGCAAGATTTTCGGTTGCCTTTCTTTCAAATATTACACAGCAGCAGAGAACCAAGGAATTTGCGCGAAAAGAGTATGGAACGAGGTCTAGCAAAAGTATGTTACAAAGGTTTGGACTTTCTTATAAAGTACTTGGCTTACTGCGGGTGATAGTAAGCTTATCTACACTAAAAAAAAAAATCACACTTTAGAGAAACAGTCAACTTCAACACCCCTATCTATCTTCCTTCCTTCTTTTTTTTTTCCCCCCCTTTTCTTTTCTTTTTTTCCTACTGAGTAAGTTTGGTCTGCAGAGGCCCATGAATACGGTCTCTAGCGATCTATTAGTAAACTGGGTTGTAGCCTTCAGAGGACAGGCCTGTTAGCTCTCTCTCTCTTCCTCTCCTCTCTTGCTGGAATATATTAAAGGCAGAATTATGTTCAGGGCAAGACAAAGCGCCCTGATAATAAGGAAAAGTATAACTTCCAATTTTGTGAGGCATTACAAGACAAACCAGAGTTCTTTGGACTCAGGAGGGTATGAGAAGGCAGTCACACTTCAGAGAAAGACAAGCTGCTGGGGAAGACCTTTCCTTTTTAGTTTGGGGAAAAGAGAAACTTCTGATGCGCTCACTGGAAAACAGACTGCATAATGGAGCAAGTCATGTGGATTGCCCAAAGCCTCCGGAGAAATAAGGGAGCAATTTCTATTCTGTAGTTGATGGCTGTCTGAAATTCTATTCACAAATCCAAACAGAAACAAAGCCTCAGGAGGTCAAAACTGTTTCCTGTACGTTTGCATAATGGGCAGCTTGAGGACAACGGCTCTGATACCTGCTGATCAATTTAACTACTTCAACATGTTTTGTTTGTATTATGTTTATATTTGATGCAGTTTGCTGACAAGTGTGAGCTAGGCCTGAGAAGCCAGCTTGTCAGTTTGATTTATGAGCATATCAAACTGTAACTTTCTACTCGCCACTCCAAACCTACAGTAGCAGTTCATTAATCAGGGGCCAGTGACTTTGAAATCTGTGTTCTACGGGTTTCTCCCCGAGCCCGTTCCCCCCACCCTCCCAACCGCAGGCGACATTTGCATGCACGTTCTCTGAGCTGCACCACTGAGAAAAATAAGGTTCCCTCACCAACTTAGATTCACGGTGAATACAAGATAATCAGTACTTTGTCCACCACAGAGCTTGCTCTTTGTACATTGTGATTCATTAGTGAACATTAGGCGACAGACAGCAGCATTGGATTGTAACTCTCAAGTCCCATGCTACAAAAAAGGAGAGCAGGAGAGTTCTACTGTCACTGTTAGTAAGTGGGGTAAAAATGTATCATAACGCATCTTTGACAGCGAGAGCCTCGTGCTAGGGTGGCGTCAGGCGGCCCTGGCCTTGCGGCGCCCCGTCCCCACCTGGCACTGCGGCGCCCCCTGCCGGGCAGCGCAGCGGGCCCGGCGGCTCCTACCTCCTTCGCCTGCTTGCCGGGGTGGGGTGGCGGCGGCGGCTGCTGGGGCTGCTGGGGCTGCGGCTGCTGTTGCTGCTGCTGCTGCTGTTGCTGCTGCTGCTGCTGCTGCTGCTGCTGTTGCTGCTGCTGCAAAAGCTGAAGATGTAACTGCTCTTGCTGTTTCTTGTAAAACTCTTGTAGTTGTTGCTGAATAAACCATTTTGACTTTAATAAATAAAGGCAAAAGTTGCATGTATTATAAATCTCCTAAACTCTTCTAGACTGGCAAATGGTAGAGCAGCCATTAAGATTCACCTCCCAAGAACAACCAAAAAAAAAAAAAATCTGCAGTGGACGCCAGGAGACAAATCTACATACATTTTTTTTCCAAGGCAGCTCTGAAATTTTCCAATCCAGTATCCAAAAATTCCTACTAAACAAAAGGGCACAGAGAACCTATATGCTAAAGGGCCAGAACCACATGGATACCCTAAATGATTGCATCTGAGATCCCGATAGGGTATAAAAATAGGTTCTATCCTACCATTTGCAAGGCCCAAATAGATGACTACATAAAAGCAGGTGGTTTGGGTCTTATTAGGGAATATGTTTCATTCATCAGATGTACAGAAGAATGTCAGACTTAGAAATCTAAGCAAATGGGCTGTGGTCATCATCCACAGATGACAGCAAGGTAATTAAATCGTAATTAAAACATTCTCTTCTCTACGATAAGTAAGACTACAACATAAAGTCCAAGTACACTCGAGGCTCCAACAAGGTACATATTAGGAGCATGAGTTTTGTTCCTTAAAGAAGGTAACGTCCATGGATTAGTGACTTAGCTGCTTAATTTTGTTTTTATAAGTAGATATTTCCTATGCTTCAACACTGAATATATTTTGGAAAGAAAAATCTAGGATGTCACCTTCCCATTGCAACCAAACGACCAGTTCAAATTTTGTACTTCCCTGAGCAAAAAGGAGTGCTAAAGTGGTGGAGTCTTAAAGGCAAGAATTATTTGTAAGTCCCTTTGCACTTTTGTGGCATGTCTACAGATCAAACGTAGGAAGCATATGAATATTTAAATATTAGTCCATTCCATGTTGACGCTATGCTTCTCTCCGCTCTTATTCTAGACTTGGATGAATGTAAAAAGACTAAGGGATCTAACTTTTCTTACGTAGTCCTGCAGTTACAATGCTACGTTTATGTTCTTGCATGCTGATCAGTTGTCCCTTCGAGTGGAGAATGACTGTTAGATAGGTCCTGGTGCTGTCGACCACCGGTGCACGCCTTCTGCGCCACGCTAGAACACCAAAGCAGGTAACCCACATTACCTGCTGCAGCATGACTGCCTGCTGCTGCTGGAGAAGGGCTTGGAGCTGCTGAGGAGATAGGACTTGTTGCTGAAGAATCTGCTGCATTTGCTGAGGGGTGATCACCTGGGGAGTCATCATGGCCACCGACACAGGCACCTGTACAGGGAGAGAAAGAAAAGGGGCCGTCATAACCAAAGGTCTGCTCACCTACTTCACAGTTATACAGCATCTCCAATACATTCTTTAGAAATGATGACTAACAATTTGTACATCCTATTTGATAATAATATTAGAGCATCACAGTGTTTAGACACTGGCCTTCCAGGGGCATCAGACTCGATCGAATTCTACCTTTATGTCCCTTACCTCCTATATATTATGCTGAATGGTGGAGCTTTGACTAGCAGAGTTAAAAATAAACAATTACACATCAGTGTTCTCAGTACTTGATCATTGACATTGCCAGTGTCATAGTGCTATCAATGTAAAGCCTTTTGAAATGGTTTAAAGGTATGATTAAAATAAACTCTAAAGATTAATTAGAAAAATATGCATATAAGTTACAGTTATCAAAGTTAGTAAAGAGGATGTATGTAGAAAGGACTTATGCATAAAACATAATCACTATCTTGAAAATTTTATGGATATATATAAAAAACAGAAGTACTAGAAAAATACATCTAGTAATATATACTACTTCATGAGCACATTTAGCAGCTCATAGAGGATACATATACAAAAGTATATCCAGGAAATAGGCACCCAGACAGGTCCTCTCGAAGAAGGAATCAGAAGCCAAGTATTCTTCTTTAAACATTTTCTTATTTCAGGCTAACTAGACTTAAATTACGGAGTCTGGAAATTGAAAGATTACTTAAAACTTATTCATGAAACTGAAAAAAAAAGTATTTTACTTAAAATTTTCTTTCTTTTCAAGGCTCTGAGAATTACAGAGTCGAAAGGAAAAGCAAATAAGGTAGGAGAGAAAGAAACAAAGGAGAAAGGAGAGGCAAGAGAAATACAGAGTGAGAAAGAGCAAAGGAGAAAGTTCTAGAAAAGAGAATGGCAGGAGAGGTGAGTGTGAGAACCTCATAGGCAGGAAAGCCTGAGGTAGAGGCTTGGCCGGCCAGGCCACAGCTGTGCCGTGTTGAAGGCACTGCTTGTACTAACCAGCATGTAATCAAACAACGTGTCAACTTGCCAAGTTTGCAACCTTTGAAAAAGCAATCACTTTCTTTCCTAGAAAAAACAATTCACTTTTACTATAAATAAAAGCAAGTGTTTATATAAATACTGCTTCAGAACAAATCCATGGGACAACAGTGTGTCTTGGAAAACAGAAAAAGATTAATAGACATGGTTCACTATTTTAATCATCATTTTTACACAGCTAAAAACTTCTCTGGCGCTTCATGTTATGAAGAAAGGAGAAACTGATAATGAAAAAGAAGTGCAGAGAGAAAAAAATAAAAGAAACCCAGGGTGGATAAATCTCCCCTTCCTCAAACAAACAAATTGTATATATTATATATAACATATATAATATATAATTAATATAATTAATACAGTGAAATAACTGTCTTTTCTATCCCATGGTGCTATCTTAAAATATGGATTGACTAAATCTAGTTTTATAACACAAAGAAAAAAAAACACATTATGACAGAAAAAACTCAGTGATTTTCACAAGTATTTCTGGATTCATTTTTTAGAACATACTGACATACCTATAGGTTACTGTCTTTGAATTTATCATAATAAAAGGCATTCTGAAGTGTGTGCTATAAAATTAACTGACCCAACAGGCTGCCCAAGTGTTTTGTTGTTTAAAAATTGAATGGCGAGTTTACCTAATTGTTTGTGCCTTGATAAACAAATAGAATGGTTAGAACAAGCAATTTTAAAATTAATCTATTGCAAAGATAGCTTTTCTTCCACCAGTCGTTTACCTCATATTATGTCCAAATAATGAGGAATCAAACCAAAATGAAAGACAAGGTAAGAAAGAAATGTTAATCTCTAAGAAGGTTGCCAATGCAAATTGACAGAAAGACAGATACTACATATATGTAGACAGATATTACATATATGTAGACAGCCAAATACATAAATAGAGATACATACACACAGATATATACCTTCTAGAAAGCCTATCATGTGATAAAAACTTGCCACACTTCTCTCATCTAAGACCCTAATCACTTTTTAGTGTATGGGGAGCTTTCACTTAATTATCTACATATCTACAAGGAAAAGTACTTGTTATACATGACTCATGACAGATGCACTTTTTAAGAAGTTTTATGAATGGAGGCCTGTCATAATACACTGCAAGTTTACAGTTAGATTTCAGCTCATATAAATTAAGTGACTCTAGCTTGTTGCAACTGTGACTGATTTGGTATATAAGCAAATTTAAGCAAAAATTGTGCCTTTGCATTTTAGAGTCCATTAGCCCCTTTACTATGGATAGGTTTTTTTTACTTTTAAAATGGTTTGTATTTCCCTTATAACGAAAAATTTATGAACATAAAAATAACCATCACAACCTCCACCTCCTCTTCAAATCATATGTACCACACATATGTGATACTCTCCAAGTTTTAAGCAGATTCTGTCTTTCCTTCTAGAAAACTGTCATCTAAAACTGACAATATACATGCACAAAGACAGGCAGAAAGACAAGCCAACTAACACATAATTGACTACTCTACCTCCATAAGATATGTACGAAAACACGAATCAAAATTAATTATATATGTAGGAAAACACAGGTGCACTTGTGAGGGATTTCTAACACTATAAAGAAGCCAGTACTAATCTCTAAATCCACATATACAAGCTCATCCCAAGTGGAATGTCTGAAGCTAATAAAACATTTGAATTATTTTAATAAATAGAAAATAAAGATTTTCCTGCACCAAATATCAGTTACATGTTATATGTAGGCCACTCCACTTGCCTTGTTTAGAAATCAGTAATTTTCAAAATGCAAAACTTCTCCACTTTAAGCAACTCACTTTAAGTGATACATTTCCTTTACTCCTCCTCCATCACTTTTGTTAAAATCTCCATGCACTTCTTTGTCACTCCAAACTACCATAAGAATTCCCTGACAAAGATGGGTAGAGATTGAGTACACAAGAAATTTTTTTTGGAGATCATGCTACTTTATCAGTATTTAAACAGGTAAGACCAGCATCATATTTGAAAATATATGGAGAACTTTCCGAAATATATACACCTTAGTAAGTCCAGTATTAAGCTTAAGAAAATATTTTCCACTAGATGTATCATTTCGTTCATGCAAATATTCTAATGAGGGACCACATTTAGGTATGTGATAGAGGAGGGGAAGGAGAACTTAGCTCAGCTATTTTCTGGCGAGAGGGCAAATAAAAGTCTGGTAGCTCTATGAAGGTACAATACATTATGCAGTCACCGAATGTTAGAAACAGCTGGCTCTGAATGGGTGTCCCAGTGAAAACTGTGGTCCATCAATTAAAATCTTCAAAAGTGAAGAAAGGGAACGAATTCTCAACTTTGGTGGGGAGATTTCTTTTTCTCTCTTGGTGTTTACTATACTGACAGATCTGAAATTCCCCACAGCGATGCACCCATTAAGGGTTTATTTGCCCTCATTTATTTTCTCATTACATGGATTAAGCACACACCTGATGTGTTGCTCTGTGTGCTAAGAAGTAATAGGTAAATGGACATAACGTTACATATTCTGAAAAGAAAGAGGAAAACTTCTGCAATTGTCCTGAAATGAGTCAAAATGGCAAAAAGTTGAAAGTGTTTAGATAGTATCCCAGAACAGGTAGAGGATGACTTTAGATTAAAAAAAAAAAAATACAAATGTGTTTCTATTAAACTTCTGAATGTATCTCATTGAAGGGGTCAAAAAGTCATTAAAAGAAGATCACGGCTCACTTCAAATGAATCTAAAGAGTTATTATAAGGGTTATAAAAACGGCCCCCAATTTTTATTTGCTATAATAAACCCACTGTCTTTTGTAGTCTAGTTTAACTGGAACATTTCTGAATATGTTGGGTTTGCATATTAAGCACGCCACTTAATTAAAGATCCCACGTATATGTGGGTGATTGGAACAGTTCTTAGTGTAATGTCAGTCCCATTCGTTCTTCACTAAATGTGAATCAGAAAAAAACAGTCACAACCTGTAGGTGAGACTTATAGTAAAAAACGTTATTTCCTTGTTAACAGGGTCTGCCAACTATTGGTTCATAGCTTCCTTCTTCCTTTGCTTAAAATTTGAAGACAAAGGAAGTCCTGGCTGATAGTCCCCGGTCATTAAGGGGGGGGGGAGGGGGACGGTAGGGGCGGGTAACTCTATTAGGATTAACTATGTGTATAATAAATGCAAAACTGGTTTTCAGATTATACTCTGTCTTCCTATTTTAACCAGCATTTGATAGGAAATATTCGATTGCACACGCTTTAATTTCTCTGTTTACTTCTTTCGTCTCTACACTATCTGTAGCTATAGTTTATTTTAACGTAAGAAACTATCGTATTGCATTTCTAGTCTCGGTCCATATTCAAGCCCTGGTAACATGTAACAATGTCCATCATAATAACAGCTTTCCAAAAGCTTCCTGACTTTATGGTATTAAAAAGAACTGACAGTGAATTGAGTGGTATTTGTAAGCTTTTCATCAAGTGCCGAACAGGAGTATTTAAAGAGAGATCTGGGATGGACAGAGAATACTGCTATTTAACGCAATCTTTTAGCAGCGAGGAAATAGTGTGATGGGAACAACAGAGAGACCGGCCCAGTGTAACACCAGGCACTGAGATTACTTTTCACCATGATTCATCGCTACTTAGTTTCTACCATAGTTTAAGACGTTAGTTTTCATTTAGCAATTCCTTTGGTGAAGCAGGGTGAGGTCTGTCGTGGAAAGTCGAGTTTGTCCAACTTTCGCGTTCTCTTAGCCAGACACAAACATCGCAGGAGACAGTACAGCTTTTCCTTTGTACGCGTGGTGATGACGAGGCTGCTCACGTAGGCACGCTGTTGCAGAGATTCTGGAGAAGTCCTAGATAATATTGCTATACCATATGTTTAAAGGCCAAAAATGCAACTTCTAATCTCACTCTGGCTAATCAAGCTGCTCAGATTATTTTA